TTCTGCAGACTGTTGAGGGTTCAGCCTCCTGATGAGTCGGTGAAACTCCGACGAAACAGTTTGTCACAGCCCCTCGTTTGTTGTCCTCTTCTCTCTCTCTGCCTACGGTTTACCGGGCAGTTCTGTTTGTGACGATATATATTGTCAAACACATATATTCGATATATAGTCAAATATATATTATATATCTGTATATATTTTGCGGGGTGCCGACGACTCCCAACCGGTAGGTGCCGACCAGCCAACCGGTTGGCTGGTCGGCATCCGGGCAGTCAAGGGGCCCCGACCGTTGGGGTATGCAACCGTGCCCAAAACTGCATTTGTGGTTTCGGCGGTCTTCCTCTGCCAACTGGCTTGGGTGTAGATATTATCTTATGCTCCACGATCTGGTCGATGCCGATGTATTCATCCATGGTCGAGGGCAGCATCGATCTCCTTGAAGGAAACTCATCAGTCTGCATGAAAGGTAGGAGTTTTGGAGGCATGGAAGACTGGGTAAGCCTGTAGGTGAGGTGGGATACGAATCACGTACGATGGGCCATCTGGGTCTGAACCTACGATGTCAAGAACTTCCCATTGCCCAAAATACTGCGGCACCAGCTTTCGTGAGATGTTTACCTCCTGTTCGAACACCGGAGACTTTACCCAGACTCGCTCTCCTACCTTTTTTCTTTTTCTTTTCTTGGATGCCATCATATCATCTTTAGGTTTTTTGATTTGTTCTACAGTCTGCTGCAGAAGTATGCCATTTTTTGATTTGGCAGCAGTCGGTTGAGTCTGATGGAGGAAGTCTAATGGGGTCATCCTTAGACTTCCATCCTAAGTGCAACTGATCGGTGATCGCACTGGAACACTATGAACAGCTCGGTTGTACAGGCCGGCGATGAGAGGAAGTCTCTGATTCCAGTCCTCCTGGCTGGGCTTGATGTAATGCCTTAGTAGTGCTGTACCACACGGTTCATCTGCTCAGCTTGCCAGTTAGTTTCTGGACGCTTCTCGAATGTCGTAAGCAACTGGGAACCCATCCTGTTCCACAGTCGTCTTCCGTAATCCGCTTGTAAACCTGACATCTCTGTTGATGCCTTGTAGGAATCTTCGGCGAGTTTCAATTCAATCCGTGGCAGGTGTGAATTGTGTGGATTGCAGTTGAAGGTTCATTGCGTCTGTCTGTCTCTTCTCTCTCTCTCTCTCTGTCTCTCTCTCTGTCTCTCTCTCTCTCTCTCTCTCTCTCTCTCTCTCTCTCTCTCTCTCTCTCTCTCTCTCTCTCTCTCTCTCTCTCTCTCTCTCTCTCTCTCTCTCTCTCTCTCTCTCTCTCTCTCTCTCTCTCTCTCTCTCCTCTTCTGTCTGTCTGTGTCTTCTCTCTCTCTGATATCCAAGTTTCAATCCACTTCATTGAGACCTTGAAGGTGGATATGATTGCTACATGAGGTTCCTGAACTTGACAAAMGTTTTTTTTTYCGYGCGGCAYGCGTATGTGAAGGCTACCAAACTCTCATGTTCTGAACTAGGTAGTCGTCTTCCGTAATTCGCTTGTAAATCTGACATCTCTGTTGATGCCTTGTAGGAATCTTCGGCGAGTTTCAATTCAATCCGCGGCAGGTGTGAATTGTGTGGATTGCAGTTGAGGGTTCATTGCGTCTGTCTGTCTCTTCTCTCTCTCTCTCCCTCTCTCCCTCTCTCTCTCTCTCTCTCTCTCTCTCTCTCTTTCTCTCTCTTTCTCTCTCTTCTCTCTCTCTCTCTCCTCTTCTGTCTGTCTGTGTCTTCTCTCTCTCTCTATGGATATCAAAGTTTCAATCCACTTCATTGAGATCTTGAAGGTGGACATGATTGCTACATGAGGTTTCTGAACTTGACAAACGTTTTTTTTTCCGCGCGGCATGCGTATGTGAAGGCTACCAAACTCTCATGTTCTGAACTAGGTACTGAACAGCTAAATTAAGCTGGAACTTTGTTTCTCATGCTGGTGCTGCTGCAGCTGCTGGTGTGGCAATAAAGGAGGCAATCTTGATGGTGATGGTGGTGAAGATTATAATCACAATGACGATTGTAGTGGCTGATGATGATAGTGACAAGGACGCGTGGTAATGATGATGATGATGATGATGATGAGGATGATGAGGATGATGTGGATGATGAGCTAATTCTCATGCCTTGGACCGGTTTCTGGTCCAGGTTGAACGTTACAGATGATGGGCTTCGAGCAATTGTGAGACTAGGAAATGGCGACATGAGGAAAGCGCTTAATATACTTCAGGTAGGCATCAATGATACCTAACCTTATATCCTGCTTGATTTTGGATATTAATAGTTGAGGGTGTACTCAAGGTCAAGCCCTAGTGGTGCTATGTTCCTGGGCGTGAACATGGCCAGGTTCATCCTAGCGTAACCCAAACGTAGGACCGGTTGGTTGAACCTGAGGCAGGTATCTGTCGCTGTCAGAATCTCCCTCAAACTCTTCCAATAGGAATGACTTCCTCGTTCACAGAGAGACACACACACACTCACACAGACACACAGAGAGAGAGAGAGAGAGAGAGAGAGAGAGAGAGAGAGAGAGAGAGAGAGAGAGAGAGAGAGAGAGAGA